ACCTGTGCGGGATGATGACTATGAAAATGTTGACGGTGGCAATGTTGACGATGACGAGCAGGATGTTGTTGCTGATGATGATGCCCAAGGGGTGGTGATAGCGTTGCTGGTGCTGATGGTGGTGGTCACGATGATGATGATAATGATGATGATAATGATGATGATGATGATGATCTTCTCTCACCGCAGAGAGAATCCGCGCTGCGCAGCGGACAGCAGCATACGGCCACTGGCCTCATGAGCAAGCTCGCCCATACTGAGCGGCAATCAACGAGAGAAAGTACATGAAGAAATGAACATAGTCTCTTCGGATTTCATTGAAAGTGAAACGTAGTGGGGTGGTGGGTAGTGCTAGATGAGGTTAGGTGCCAGGTGGTGCCAGCTGCTAGGTGGTGGTGGTGCAGATTGCAGCGGCGGTGGTGTGTTGCGGGCTCTGGTTTCTGGAAGTGTCTTGCGGTGGTTGACCGTAAGTCGGTGATTGCGCGCGATGAGTAGTCGGTGGTGCCTGGCAGTGGCTGTGATGGATCCCCGCTCATCTGGCTGCCAGTTTGCCGTTGGTGGCTTGCGACTGCAGCGTCCTCGTCTCATGTGTGCAGCCGCCACCAGAGGTCGAAGCAGTCGTCGTTAGAGAAGTCTTCCAAGTGCTCGTCTCGAGTGCGTCACTGTTCCCGACATTTCAGGCGGCATGAGCCGTGGATAACGGACGATGGGTTGTCGACCCGGGCTGGCGTTTTACGGAGAGGGTGGGCAAACTCACTCAACAGGCCGAATGCTTCCCAGCCGTTGCTCTCATGATGCTGGCTGTCCGGCTTTGCAAGCCCGATCCAACATGGCTGAGTTGGCCTGTTTGGCATTCAGGCCTTAAGATGTATCGTCCCGTGCGTGCCTTGCTGCGGCGCACAGCCGCGAGGCTGAAGAGACCCAACACTTCACCTTCCATCTATGTGTGAGTGGATGTACCTTGCGATTGACGATAGTCAGCTTATTGGACAGATGTGTGCTTTGTTGTCGAACACGGTTGTCATGCTCGAAACGTTCGATGTTTCCGGTCGGAAAGTTTGGCAGCAGTGGAACTGCACGCAGTTTACCGACGGTCTGGTGCTTGAGGTCGCGTTCTTGCATGTCATGATCTGGCTATAGAGGTTCGTACAAGCTGAGCAGCATCCAATCCAACTGTGTGCCTTGATGCTTTACTCGCGACACTTCCAGCTGCTTTAAGCAGGGCAGTCAGCTTGCAAATAATTGATCAAGCGTGCGCCATTCCCAGTGCTGCATACCAATCATACACACTGGTGCGGCAGGCCGTCCCAGCAAAACCCGACAGTTATACATCATACATTGATTTGCCTGCTCATCACTGGCACGATGCGAGGACCAGCAAAAATCGGCAAGAAGCTGCCCTCCCATCATACAAGACCCCTCCGCCATCACTCGAAGAGCAGCCGAGCTCCAGCACCTGCAAGCCACGATGGTGACGAGCTCGACAGCAACAGGGAGTGGAGCCAGCACGGCTGCAACAGCGGCCCAAACAACCCCGCCACCGCTGCAAGGCGAGGACGCAACCACTTGGGGGCACCATGCCCGCACAGCTGACGCAACCACGCACAGGCACACAGACAGCTACCACTGCTACCACCATAGCGGGCCCATCAACGTGCGATAAACTCAGAATTTATTCGTTTGTGTGTGCACCTTGATGCAAGATTGTTTATGACGTGTTCTTTTCATATGAATGCAGGGTTAGAACAACAACCCATTGAATGGCATGTCAATAGCAGATGTGCGTTTGATCGCTGAAACCACAGAGTTCTGTTGTCGATGGTGAAGCTTGTTGTTTCTTCACCAAAATATTGGCAGCATTGAGGATGGCCGTGGCCCTGAAGTTCCAAAATCCAAAGCACAGCCGTGAGTTTTTGCTGGTTGGGCGTTTTCTAAACACATACAGTGCGACTTCACTTGAATTGCCACCACAGGCATGTGGCAAATCACAAGTTCGAGCTTGTTTCCAAGATGTCAGTCGGTTGATATTCGCAAAGACGCTCCAAAGCATGAGGGCGCAAAATGATTGTTCAGTGCTCATGATTGCGTGACGAGGCGTGATGGTGTTAGTGTTGAATTGCTATCGCGTGTTACTTGGCGATAATAACTAGACGAAATTAGACACAGCTTTCATCCCAACTTGAGCCATGGAGTCTGAGTCTGCTTGCCATCGGTCAGCCGTTTAATGAGACTAGCACAGGCGCGATTCCTGTAACAACGGTCTTTGCGTGAAATTCGAGTGTGAGCTGCCTTTTCAGGTGCTTCCAGCTCTTCTAGTTCGTGCCCTACTTCGGCACGTTTTTAGGATGGCGCTGGCCTTTTTCCAAGATGCAAAAAGGCAATTCACACAATGTGCGTTGTGCTTCGTACTTATCCAAAACAAGTCAGGCCAGTCAGGCACAAGCTGCCATGGGAACGAACGCACAAATACGCACGTGCATGCATTTCAGCTTCCAGCATGCAGTGTAATGCGGCTTGCGGTTGTGGAACTCTTGACGAGCGCTGACAAGCAATCGATAGCCCCACTCGAGAATACTCCTGGAGCCAGTACAAGCATCGCGCACCTCAAACTGTTGCTGGATAGATATCCAATGGCCGTCGACATTGCAAGTCCGGATCCTGCTGTTCACGAGGTGCAGAGTTGAGACATTTACCTCATGCTGTCCACACCTGTTCTCTGTATAAACTCTGTTCAGGCAAGCGAGGTTCAGGATGAGTGCCTCGACTACAAGCCGGCCCTTATTTCCCCCTAAACCCTGAACCCCTCTTTCGCAGGTACAGCCTGGCAAAGGAGTTCTATGACGCATACAAGAAGTACGCTGCAGTCGTTCAGCCAGGGGTTGGTTGTGAGCAACACGAGCTCGATCGCCTGACGCTTGCCGAGCATTGGACTGGCAAGCCTCCGTGGGGACGTCTACCGTCGTGCAAAGATGTACCCTTGCGCTTAGGACTGTTCAACTGAAGACCATCGCGCATCATGTAATGCAGCTGAAGCTATTTTCGCCAAATGAAGAGCTGGATGACATAAGCAACTCGACTATATTGTTTTTGTCTTTAGATTGTCTTCGGTGGTGTGGCTATCTTGCCGTGCATCGTTGCTCGCCAGGCACAACTGACCTCAAGTACATGCTTGTTCCCTATCTGCTCGCCGAAGTGGCTCCGTTGCAGGTATGCTCAGTGCGCTGTTGTCTCGGGGGAAGTTGGAGTTCCCCTTAGAGGATGGTGGTCATGGCCTGAAGGCTGGGAGATAAGTGGAGGGCCATGGCTCACGAGACGAGAATCTTGAAGTCGCTGGGGAATGTCGAGCATCACGATAGGATGGAACGTTGCACAAGAACATGGGGAAGCATGCTTCCGTAGATCATGGAACCATAGAGCAGGTTCGCGGCATTGCAGTGCAAGTGCCTGCGAGTGCTTGGCCAAGCTAACGCACGAAGCAAGTGCAAAAGTCTCCAACAACAACGACATGCTTGGGCCGTACTGGAAGAGATTCGTAAGTTCTTCAACCTGTTGAGATCAGGCTGAACAGGCGGTTTTGCTTGATGATGGTGGGCGCAGTCATTTGCACAACGACCCAGGTCACAGGCCCTGAGCTCATGCCAACAACAAGCATGTGGTCAGCTAATGGTAGCAGCAGAAACAGTTTCCGAAATTTCACAACAATGTTTCCGCTATGCTGTGTTCCACGCCTCGCGACAAATGTGTGGACTTTCTGGCCTCGGCAATATGGCAACCATGTTCACTGCCCATACGTTGCTGATGCCTTTTGATGCGTAGCCACGCCGAGTTTGCACGATGTTGACGTGACACTGTGGCTTCGTACGTTCCATTCAAAGACGAGAGTTGCACAGTGCTCGCAACGTGAAACCAAGTGTATCAAGCCAGCAGCTGGCTTGAGATTGGCTGCCAGCTAATCGGATCTCAACGGACCACTGGCCGCAGATACCACTTCCATTGAAAGGAAGTGTTATGGATTCCTCCGCAGATCGCGAGACAGACGGTTGGGGCGAAGCACACTTCGCAGAGTGCAGGACAGCGCAGTGACGCAAGTGGTAATGGAGGAATCGATTTCAAGATCGATCACCTTTGGTGCAAAATTTGTGCCGCAGGCCGTGGGGCATCGTGAGTTGCACTCTCAGGCGTGCCCTGGCCTCGCGGCATCCGGTGTTTCATCCTTGCCGAATCGCAGCAGAAGGGCCTTCCCGAAACGTTGGCAAGCGTTTGTCAGCGAGCGCAGGTGTCCGCAAGTGTCGCGCAGGTCCCGGAAAGTGAGAAGCTGAGGGTGTGTTTTGCACCAAGCTTGTCATGGGAGGCTTTAGCAAGGGGCAAGTTACGCGAGATCGTGCTTGTGCTGCCATTTGCGCGAGCAAAGTCCTGGCGCTTCAACCTCATGAGGATAACCAGAGCGTTGTTCCGAATTTGTCACTGCAGTGTGTGTGTGTGTGTGCCGACTCGTGCGGCCTTAGACGCATCTGTCGCGGGATGCTTGAGCTGGTGAGCGTCCCCTCCCGGCCTGCGCCTTTTCCGTTTGCCGGGACATGCAAGTGTGCGGGCATGGCTAACGTCGGGACACAAATGGCCTTTGTGGGTTACGCATATACCAGTTGCACACAAGGGCTAAGAAAAAACACTCCAATTGCAGATTACCACCAGTACGTCAAGAACGGCAGCGCGAACACTGCGCACCTGCCATGACTGCGAAATTTGTCCCGTGCGCTTACAGAGATCTCGTTAACCACATACCACTGCAGTGTCGCGCGCCTGTGGGCTGACAACAGGATGAAATAAATTGAGGCGGCGCTGGATCGGCATCCCGTCCCACTATGTGCTACGTCCTACGTCTGCAAAGTCTAGTCGTTGGAGATGCACTTTGGCATCTGCGACCCGAAGCCCGCGTGATGAACTGAAACCGCATTCCAACTCTTGCTGGGTATGACACCAGCTTCAGGATGGCGATGATGTCTACGTCGTTTCCTTGCCTGCACGTGTCCGTGCGCTGCTTTACGTCGCCCTCGCCACCGCCCCTTGAACCTCGCACAGATTCGGCTGCATGAGGACAAGAATGGGATTTGGAACGCAGCCGGCAAAGGGAACCACCCGGCCTTGCCGACATCGCAGCTGATTTGAGCGAACCCGCCGGTCGGCGACTGGGGTCTCCCCTCATGTACTCGGGTCTCCTTGGGGGCGCGATGCTTTCGTAGCTGCAGCTCGCCAACGCAGACCAAAACACCGTCTCGCAGATGACTGCCCCTGCCCATGCACCGAGCACATCCATTGGCACACACTCGTCACAGCGTTCGGATGTGCCATTCAGGTCGCTATGTACCTGCAGTATGCTGTGGCGTACAACTTTTCCTAGCTTGTTGTCCCGACAGACCCCTGTGTTTGGACTGTGGAATTCTGCTGACGAAGCTTTGGCAGCTGCTTGTCGGTGGGCCGGGCTTCCCCATCCGAAACACTTAGGAGTCTACTAGGAGTCATGATGGTGAGCAACCGGATGCTCCTTTGGGAATGCCTCGGCACCGGAACCTGTTGTTGTCTTTGTATTATGCCTGAAGATGAGTGGGCCCCTACGCGACGTCTGCTGGTGAATGTGCAGGGTTGTCGAGATCCCCTTGGGTGGTTCGGTGAGTTGTCTCGCACTTTGTGTGGATGCTCCCGTTCGCAAGATGAGCCCTTGGCGTTGCCTTCGCCAGACGTTTATGCTACAGCCATGTGTGGGTCCGCATTGCTTTGGCGAATCAGGAGGTAGAAATGAAGTTGAGCTGGGTAGTGATGGGCGCCGCGTACTTCTGATGTGACTCCGACATTACGAACAAGGGCTCCGGCCTGCGCTTCTTGCAGCTGCGCGCGCTACACGAGCCTCGCCCAGACCAGTCGCCGACCTCAACACGGAAACACTCGCCGAGCGCCGACGAGAAGCCGCTTGCATGCTCACGCGCCCGCCAAGTGCTAACAGAAGTGCTAACCGCTGCCGATCTCGCGCCTGGCGACGAGGCGACCCGGGCCGCTCTGACCGACGCAGCGAAGCGGCCGCTGCAGCCCCGCGAGCCCCGCGTGACGTGCTGCAGTTCCAACCGCCGACGCTCGTGCGCCTCACTTCCACCGCGGTCCGTGAAGTCAAGCGGGGGAGTGCACCTGGGCTGTCCGGCGCACACGCCGAGCAAAACAAACTGTCAGTAGACTGTTGTTGGGCCATGCAGATGATATGGAGTTGCTAGCGCAGGCAGCCAACTTGCTGGCACAAGCAGAGGTCCCGCGTGGCATTGCGGAGGGCGTCGCGTTGACCCGCATGACCGTGATCCGTAAGCCTAGATCGAGGTGGCGTGGCATTGCGACGGGTGAGATGTTTCGTCGGCTCGTCTCACGCTCGCTGGCTGCCACATGGGCGCAAGTGTTTGACCAGGCAAAAAAGCCATACCACTTCGCACTTCGCACCCGCGCAGGAGTGGATGCGTTGTCGGCCCGAGTCTGTGCAACCCTGGAAAACGATGTCCGAGCCACCGTTGTCGCGCTGGATGGGCGCAGTGCCTATGACTGCATCTTCCGCGCCACGTTTCTGTGCAAGCTGCGCGAGGCGACACCCGCACACGTGCCGTTTGCACGTTTTTTTTACGGCCAGACTTCGGAATACAAGTGGTGGGACGACGACGGCGTCCGCCACGGCATACCCCAAGCGGAGGGATGCGAGCAGGTTGACCCCCTGGCCCCCGCCGTTTTCGCCCTTGGCCCACACGAAGCGCTGCGCCGGGCAGACTCGCAGTTGCGGTACGGCGAGTCGCTCCTGGCTTTTCTTGATGATGTGTACGTCCTCTTGGTGACATGCGTGTTGCTCCGCCAGTTTGCCAAGTTGCTTGACCTGCAGTGCGCGAGGCTCCTTCTCAGCTTCTGCTCCGCCTCCCGTGCGAACCACGCCCTCCGGACGGTTTCTCACGACCTCTTCGCCCCATATGTTGCAGCACATGACGCAACCATATGGGGCACCCTCGAGGCTGACTCTTAAGGATGAGTGTATTCGTTTGCACATCTCAAGCTCAATGGGTTTCGCGGAAGCCCTGTCTCAGGTCTTGACTTTGGTCTCGTGGGGGTCGTCCACTGGTTGGTTCGGCCTTGCCTGTCCGGCCCACTGTCAGGGTTCCCTCGGCTTGTCGGTGGCCCTTTTGGTGTGCGGTTTCAGCCTTGGGGCTCTTTTGACCTTGGTCCTGCTTCGGCACCTTTTCTTCGGGCCCTTCCCGGCTTTTCATCCGCCTTCGACTTCTCCGGTCCCTCCTCCTTCGCCCGACTTTCGGCCGCCACGGCCTGCACACCTACGCCTCCGAGGATACTCGGTGCATGGACAGTGAGGAGGCCGACGACCTCTCGAGTGCTATTGTTGAGGTGCAACAAGCTTTGGAACGCCTGCGGCTGGCTTCTCTGCGTACTTCTCCTTCTCGCTCTCGGAGCGAGTGGGAAGTGGTGGCTGAGTCCCCGCCTTCAGGTTCTAGGGGATCTCCTTCTAGGGCTAGTCCCCCTTTGGGTTACCCTAAGGCCTCTACCCCTGCGCCCCGCTCTCGGTCCGAAACCGAGGCTTCATTTCCTGAGTGCCCGGGGTACTGCAAGGATTTGTGTGCTCGCCTCTCTTCCGGGGAGCAGCGTGCCTGCCGGGCCTGGAGAGCTGGTTGTTGGGCCGCCGAGGTGCTTGCGGGTCGCTGGCCCACGCCCCTGTCGAGCCCCCCGACTCAGGTTCGACCTGTTGTGTACGTGGTGCTGCGTGCTGACGGCCTGCCGGCCCCTGCCCGCTTCTCTTCCTTTGCTGCCTTGCGGCAAGCCGTGGGGGAGATTGCCGGGTCCAGCTGTGTCTGCCACTCCTTTGGCTCCCTTGCCGAAGCCCGTACTTACTGCTACGCCGCAGGCGTGGCCTTCCCCAACTTGCAGTGATGCAGCTCGCCGAGCTGAAGTTCGAGCCCGACGGCCCTGGATCGCCTCTGGCTGTGAAATGGCCTTTGCCTGTCCATGGGGCCGAGGGCCTCCGGGTCTTAGGCCTTCCCCTGCTGCAGCGGCCTGGCGGTTTCTTGCTAGCACTACCCTCACTCCTTCAGGCCTCGATTTTGGAAGATGCACAGGCCGAGGAGCCCCTGGATGCGATCGGCCCGATGCACCTCTGCACTTTGCAG